TATATATATTTTATATTTTATTTGTGTTTAAGACATAAACGAGTGTGTCGAAGGTATCGATGGTGAGACTCACGGTTGCGAACACGAGTGTAGAAACGAGGAAGGTAGTTATCATTGTATTTGTCGGGTTGGTTATCAATTGGAAGAAGACGAGGTGTCTTGTAAAGATATAAACGAGTGTAGAAAGTCACCGTCACCTTGTTCTCACAATTGCACCAATATCGAGGGATCCTTCGTCTGTTCTTGTCCAATGGGATTTGTATTGAAAGAAGACAACGTCACGTGTTTGGAAGATAGAACCTGTTCGTCCATGAATCCTGCTTGTTCACAGGATTGTCATGATACTATGGATGACGGTGGTCCTAAATGCATTTGTTATCCTGGATATCAGCTGTTAGAAGACAATATAACATGCATCGATATTGACGAATGTATGGAAGACAGATCACCTTGTTCGCATATTTGCGTTAATTTACAGGGCAGTTTCGTATGTAAGTGTCCCAGTGGTTTCGTTTTATCCGATCAGGACAAATTCAATTGCACGGACGTTGACGAGTGTAACGAGCCGAATGTTCACGGATGCGAACACGAGTGTATTAATATACGTGGAAGTTACGAGTGCGTTTGTCAGGATGGTTATGTTCTAAGTGATGATCGAAAAAGTTGCGTTGACGTGGACGAGTGTAATACGATAGATCAAAATCGTTGTTCTCACAATTGTACTAATGTTTTAGGAAGTTATTATTGTACATGTCCGAACGGTTACGAGTTGATAAATGAATTTGATTGCAAGGACGTCGACGAGTGTGTCAAAGGAATTCATAGTTGTTCACATGACTGCGTTAACTTGGAAGGTGATTACGAGTGTACCTGTCCTAATGGTTTTAAGCTCGACGATGAGAGACATTGTCGTGACGTTAACGAGTGTTTAGAAAATCTTCACGATTGTTCCCACGAATGTAGAAATACCGAAGGTTCTTACGAGTGCATTTGTCCACCGGGAATGTTTAACAACAATACTAAAAATCTTTGCGTATCTCTTATGAATATCTGCGACAACGATAACGCTGGTTGTTCACATTCCTGTGAAATATACGGTGATACTTACAGATGCGTTTGTCACGAGGGTTATTTATTACAAGATGATGGAAAAACGTGTTTGGATATGGACGAGTGTCTCGAGGATGAACACGATTGTTCCCACGAATGCGTTAATACTCTTGGTAGTTACAAATGTACTTGTCCACCTGGTTTAGAATTACTCGAAGATGGTTTAACGTGTAAAGATGAAAAATGTGAGAATGGATTTCGAAGGGATAGCCATAACGTTTGTCAAGATATCGACGAGTGCGACGAAGAGGATCACGATTGTTCTCACTTTTGTATCAACGTGTACGGTTCCTATCAATGTTCTTGTCCAATCGGTTGGATTTTAGGGGAGGATCGTATAACTTGTATCGAATCGAATCCATGTTTAAATGCTACTTGTTCGCACGCGTGTTTACCGCAAGGTTCAGCAACCTTTAAATGCGAGTGTCCTGTTGGATATGAAATCGATGAAAGTGGTATGAAATGTAAGGACACGGACGAGTGTGCGAACGATAAAAGAAATAACTGTAGTCATAGTTGCAAGAACGTGGAGGGTTCGTACGAGTGTCATTGTCCGAAAGGATACGAACTCGACCAGGACAATAGCACTTGTATCGATGTGAACGAATGCGAGAACGGGGAGCACGATTGCGACGAGCACTTATGCGTAAATCTCGAGGGCAGCTATAATTGCACTTGTCCAGAGGGTTTCTTTTATTCTGAAGAAGAACACATTTGCGAGGACATAGACGAGTGTTTGAGGAATAACGAGTACAAACACAATTGTTCCCACGAATGCGTAAATACGATTGGTACCTACAAATGTGTCTGTCCTATCGGTTGGAAACTCAAGGAAGACGAACGTACGTGCAAGATCGTTGACCCGTGTACCAGTGATCATGGCTGTTCTCATACGTGCGAACAGGAGAATGGAGAGATTCGATGTGGTTGCCCTGAAGGATTCGATATTTTAGAGGATGGGAAAACCTGTCGGGAGATAGACGAATGTTTGGAAGGGTTTCATGCATGTTCTCATATTTGTAAAAATGTCGAGGGTGCATATTACTGCGAGTGTCCAACGGGATACAAATTATCGACCGACGAAAGGACATGTGTTGATATAGACGAATGCTACCTGGAAACGAAAATCTGTTCGCAATACTGCAACAACACCGAAGGCAGTTTTCACTGTACCTGTCTAGATGGATATGAATTATCCGAAGATCAACGTACTTGCAAGGACATAAACGAGTGTTCGAGGAATCTACACAATTGTTCGCACGAGTGTGAGAATCTCTTAGGTAGTTATATTTGTTATTGCCCGGAAGATTTGACCTTGGACGTGGATAAAATTACTTGCATCGATTTGGACGAATGCTTGGGGATTAACAATTGCACCCATATTTGCGTAAACATTCGTAATGGTTACAAGTGCGAATGTCCTGATGGTTTCACGTTGGAACCGGACGGTTGGTCGTGTACTAAAGTCGACCATTGTGAAACGGATCACGGTTGCTCGCACGAATGTATCAACGAATCGAATGGTTTCAAGTGCGGATGTCCCATGGGATACGCATTGTCGTCGTTGGATAATAAAACTTGCGCGGACGTTAACGAGTGTTTGGAAACCAACAACGAGATTAGCGAGCCGTGTTCGCACGATTGTGTTAACACGATTGGAAGTTACGAGTGTCTATGTCCTAAAGGATATCAAATTGGTAAAGATAAGAAAACTTGCGAGGATCTGAACGAATGTATCGAAGAAAACGGCGGTTGTTCGCATTTTTGCGCAAATACCGAGGGTAACTACGAGTGCGCTTGTCCGGACAACTACAAACTACTCGAGGACGATGGAAAAACTTGCGTTGAGATCGACGAGTGTTTGATCGACAACGGCGGATGCTCTCACTTCTGTCAATACGAGAACGGAAACGTGTCCTGCTCTTGTCCCGAAGGATTCATCCTGGACGACGTGGAGAATAAATTTTGCACGAACGAGGACAAATGTATCGTAGATAACGGCGGTTGTTCCGACATTTGTTATTCTCTAAACGGTACCGTAACGTGCGACTGTTCCTCGGGATTTCGTTTGTCCGTCAAAGACAATGTAAATTGTTTAGACGTAGACGAGTGTTTAGAAATGAAAGACAATTGTACACAAAAGTGTGTTAACATAGTAGGTAGATACAAGTGCGACTGTTACGAGGGTTTCCGAGTTAATCCCGACGAATTAAGTTTCTGCGATGACATAGACGAGTGTCAAGAAGAAAATGGCAAGTGTACACATTCCTGTTCTAATACGGTTGGTTCATATCGATGCGATTGTCCAACAGGTTACGATCTTCATTCGGATAATAGGACGTGCGTTTTGATCGATGGTTGTAAACGTGACAATGGAAATTGTTCTCATCATTGTCACCATGACGAGAATACAGGGAAGACTCGTTGCTCGTGTCCGTTGGGATTTAGATTGAAACATGATCACCATATTTGCGAGGATATAGACGAATGCGAGGAGTTTGAGAATGACGTTGATACCGGTTGTTCTCATGCTTGCGTTAATACCGAGGGTGGTTACCATTGCGAATGTCCTCCGGGTTATATTCTCATGCCGCAGGACAAGAAGAGTTGCGTAGACGTAAATGAGTGCCTTACTATCGAGCACAATTGTACCCACGATTGTTTGAACCTTCTTGGTAGCTACATATGCACGTGTTACGAAGGACATTATTTGCATACAGACAAATCCTCTTGTTTGGACATCGACGAGTGTCTCGAATTAAACGGTGGTTGTTCCGATACCTGCACCAACACGATCGGCGGCCACTTTTGTAGTTGTCCCGATGGTTACGAGCTCGGCCAGGATGAGAAAAATTGCGTGGACGTTAACGAATGCGACAAGGGACTCGCCGATTGTCCCGATACGTGCATCAATACACCAGGCTCGTTCAAATGTCAGTGCCCGGATGGTCATATCCTTGCTAATGATTCTCGAAGTTGCATCGACGTTGACGAATGTCAAATCGCGAACGGCGGCTGCACGCATGCTTGTTTCAACATAATCGGTGGCGTACGTTGTAGTTGTCCCGTTGGTTTACGTTTAAACGATGATGGAAAAACTTGTCACGATATCGATGAATGTAGCATCGATAATGGCGGTTGTTCGGACGTTTGCGTTAATCTCGAAGGAAGTTTTTCTTGTCGTTGTCCGGACGGTCATAATCTCGATGAAAATGATTTGAAAACTTGTACGGACGTTAACGAATGCGAAATAGAAAATGGTTCTTGTTCGGATATTTGCGTAAATATCGAAGGTAGTTACAAGTGCGAGTGTTTCAGTGGTTATCGATTATCCGATGATGATAAAACTTGCGTTGACATTAACGAGTGCGAAAATGATAACGGTGGATGTTCACACGCTTGCATCAATAAACCAGGATCTTTCCTTTGCGATTGTCCTAAAGGATACCAGATCAAGAATAAGACCTGCCATCATTCAAATCCTTGCATGATCAATAATGGTGGTTGCGAACAGATATGCAATGACGAGGCCGGTACGGCGATATGCACTTGCAAGGAGGGATTTCAGTATGACAAGTCTAACAGCTCGATGTGTCACGATGTGGATGAATGCTCTGGTCGGCACGGATGTGAGCATACTTGCATTAACACTATTGGATCTTACACGTGTGGATGTTGGGAAGGTTATCAAATGCAGAACTCTACTACTACTACTACTACTACTACTACAACTACTACTACTTGCGTAGGTGAGTTTCAGCAATGCACATACGTACGACTATTCTTCGAATAAAAAACTATCTATTGTGTGCAAATCTATTTATAGGGATACTCGAAAATATCACATTTATGACTATAAAATAATATTATTCGCGATAGGTAGGTTTTTTTTAACTCAAGAAAAAAAGAAACAAAGAAATATCATTTTCTATAGATATCGACGAGTGTGCATCGGGAATATGCAAGACGAGTAAATGCGTCAATACATTGGGCAGCTATCGTTGCGAATGCGACGAAGGATATCGATCCGAGGATGACACTTGTGTAGGTTCGTGTGCGAAACCTTACCTTAAAGAAATAGTCAATAATTCTTTCACATCACCTCACCTTACCTTACCTTACCTTCCCCCTTACCTACCTCCACCTTATTCATGTCAAATATAATATTGTTTAAAAATTACGTTTAAACATTGAATTTAGATATCGACGAATGCGTCGAGGCTTCACCTTGCCGTGAGAGATGCGTCAATACACCTGGATCGTATCATTGTACCTGTTCACCGGGATTTCGATTACACGGAGGCGAATGTGTAGGCAAGTTAAAGTGCTTTCCTTTGTGGTGCCTGACTGACACGCGCGATCATGAATTCGAATTCGACACAAAGCACGTAATTTAGTAACTTTATCGATCTAGATATAAACGAATGCGAGTGGCGTAACGGTAGATGCGAACAGGAATGCATTAACACTGTGGGATCCTTCCTGTGCAACTGTCGATCGGGATACGAGTTCAATCACAGGTAAATTTGATATTGACAATTTTAAATAAATGAAATCATTTTTTCTTGTTGTTGTTTTTTTTTTTTAAATTTCCATTAGGCTAGCGAATGTTTCTTTTCTTTCTTATTTTGTTTTTTCCAGGAAACACAGATGTTTTTTTTTTACGTTGCATAATTGATATTGTTAATATTAATTTAAAAATGATTCATCCTAATATATATATATATATAAATAAAATTATATTTAAAAGTATTGAAAAATATAGATGACGTTATTTCAAAAGTAGTTATAAACAAAAAAATGTTCGTTCGAGAACGATCGCAATTTTCAAGATGCATTGTGTTTTATTTCAAATGGAAATAAGTCATTTAAATGGTACTATAATCGGTATAACGAGTAATTAGATTATATAGTACATAATGCATATCTCGAGCTGTAACAATGGTTAAGCGTTCGCTTTCAGGAACAGAAGTCAGTGTCAAGATGTAAACGAATGCTTGAACCGGAACGGTGGTTGTAACGGGGAGTGCATTAACACGCTAGGAAGTTACTATTGTACGTGCAACGGCGATTTAGTATTGTCTTCGGATGAGAGAACTTGCGTCTCGTCGGAATCTAAGTGTCCTGCGATGGAATTACCCTTGCACGCTGAGGTTTCTCACAATTATTATCTTTATAATTATTCTTTTTTTTTTTTTTTAGATTATACGTAATCGAAAGACATTAAAATTAAAAAATTTGTCTCTCTTTTTTATTGTTTTTTTTTTATAATAAAAATAATAAGAATTCTTTAAATTAATTATTTCGTTACATTCGAAAAATCGTAGATTTTAATAAAAATTTTTGTATCACCAATTAAAAAATATATATAATTAGATTTTGTAATAATTAACGAAAAAAGATAATATTGTTAAAATTATTTTGATAACAGATAAGATGTCCTGGATATTATTCGGGTGCGAACGATTATCCGCAAGGTGCCAGGTGTCACATTAGATGTCGACGAGGATTTAAATTGGAAGGACCTCACACGAGATATTGCGTGACCGGTGGTAGATGGAACGGAAAAGAACCGGTGTGCCTTCGTGAATACTCGGTCGTTGATTCTCGCTACGATCTAGGTAATAATGTGTTCGATTTTAACGACGATTCGATTAACCAACCCGACCATCGTTAATCAAGAAAATTGCGAAATTTCTTAGATAAATAATCTCTCTCTTTCTCTTCTCTATCAAGTAACCCATACTATACCATCGATAAAAAGATAAGATCAGCTAGATTATCTCATATTTACGCTTCGGTAAACATCATAATTCCAGTTATTCCAATTACCGATAAAAACATTCTATTTTATTAATAATTGCCCTATTATTATTTATCGTATCGATCATTTTGTTCGTTTCGTAAATATTACAAAATTTCTAATAATAATAATAATTTCTTATTTACATCGAAAAACCGAATCGAAAATCTTCTTTACGTTTATCGTTCGTAATATTATTTTCCACGAAAATAAATCGAATCGCGTGAAATAAATAAAAACCATAATACCGATAATTCATATACGAGGGATTAGCAATTCGTACGATTATAATATATTTCTTTTTTTTATTAATAAAATCAAAGAAAAAAATATGCGGTGGTGGTAACGCCACCAACAACGGTGAAGAGATTATTTATAACGTTACGAAAATCATATTCCAAGTGCTCACGTTCAATTAGCCCAACTTGGTTCCCCCATTCTAAAGAGCTTTTAATAACGGAACCTTCTATGGTAGGGATTGTAAAAGGCAGGCAGGTTTGCTAACGAGGCCATACGTTAACGCTGGATCTTAATGAGCTTACGAGTAACGTTATAGGTCCCCTAGCTTTTTTATGTCTCATTTCCACCTTTGACATTTTCTACTATTACTATACTTCTTCCTCTTATTATTATTATTATTATTATTATTTTATTTTAGTAGATGAAGGGTTATTTTCATTGTTTGATTATAACGAGAAAAAGAGTTTTTATTTTTTGTTCCCTCGAAGAGAAAAATTATAAGAATCGAAGTTTTCAGATAACGGTACTTTTAATTTCTTCGAAAAGTAATATAATATATAATCTTGGGTATCGTTATAGGCGTGGGAGTGAAGCCAATTGGCTTGAATCCTAAAAAGGTATCGTTGGAAGCGTCAAAGTCTCGAAAACAGTTCATTTTTAATAGCTAAGAGAGAACGAGAGAGTTAACATTATATATATATCGAGTAATTTACTTGATATTCATCTTATTTGCTATCTATTTAACGATCTTTGAAACGTTGATAGCCAGAGTAGAATATATGCACAATATATGGTAGAGAATGTGTGTGTGTGTGTGTGTAGTTGAAAGGAAAGTCCCAGTCTCTAGCAGTAATTAGTCCTGATTTGTAATTCTATGTCGTAAGAGAGACATACATAGACCGTCATGGGGGAGGAAAATTGCTTCGGTAGTCTAATGACCACCTTCTATCATGTTACAGACATGCCAAGGCCGTTTGTGAGATGCCCACAGGACATGGATGTGGAGTTACCTGCAAGGCAGAATACGATACGTGTTTCCTTCCCACAACCAAAGTCCAACATGAATTGGTGGAGGTAAGGTTGGATGCCTGGCTTTTTATTTTTACTTCCTTTCGTCTTGTCAATTATTTCTAAAATTAATTTTATTTCTATATATATATTAAAATTGATCTATTATAATCGTAAAATATTTTATCATACAACAAATATCACATTTTCTAAACATTGTTTGTGTTCCTTCTTAATAAATTTTATATAGACAATCATATTTTTATTTCACCTTATTTCACGTATATATGATTTATTCGATAAAATAATATATATATAAAATATTACAAAATTTTGTATTTTGAATGATTAAATAGATTAGATTAAGATAATAGAATTGTCATAGATATACATATATATAATTCATATTAAAACAAGACAAGATTAATAATATCTATGTTTTCGCAAAGACATCCACCCAGTTCCCCCATTTAATTTCTGATCTGGGTAGCAAATCGGTAGCAGAGTACGTAGGTGGGCAGGTAGTTAGCATTGGTTCTATGTTAGTTGCTTTCGTAGGAGTAGCAAGCACACAATGGGAATTCCAAACGAGCTTACAGAATTCCTGTCGAGGATATACACATGAGAGATGATGTATCCTATGCCAGAGTCTCCTATGATGCGTTCGTTCGTGCATTTCCACTTAAGCAAGTGTTGGGAGATAGAATCCATGTATCTGTATGAATGTATACGTGTGTATGTGTGTGTCTCTCTTTCTGTCTCTCTATCTATCCTGTCTCTCTGTCTGTCTGTCTGTCTGTCTTCATCGTCATCCATCTCCCAGTCATCATCATCGTCCTTCTAACGACGAGAAGGATGAAACATATGAGAACTCAGTTATCTTCTATCTCCAGGCACCGTCGCGAAGCATTAAGCGTCAATCAGACTAGATTACGTTCGATGAGCATTTATATGTTAACGAGAGGCGTCGATCAAATCTATATAACTGTCGATCATTCAATTTCGGATTTGCTTATGAGATTTCTGAAGGATTTACATGGTAGATCAATTTCTCCCTTTTTATGTTTCATTATTTTTATATCGACTTATCACCCATTAGTAGATAGTTTAATCTTCTTTTTTCTTTCCTTCCACCCTTCTCTACAATAAAGGGCTACTATTTATAGAGGTGTTGGGGGTGATGGTGAGAGTATCATCGGTATTAATTTATGGGATTTTTGATGCATTATTTTTGACATTCACACGAATATTATTTATAAACACATTTTTATTGAGATACCAATATATATTGTTTTTATTTTGATTATATTATAATTATCTTCTTTTTTAGATACGTTGACGCTTCACCTTCATGGGCCAAACAGTTACAAGCCGATCTTCCGGCAGGTACCACCATTGTCACTTTTACAGCTTGGTCACCTGTATCCAATTATACGAGCACTTGTAGAATCGTCATACGTGTTAGAGGTGAGTTAGTGTGAAAAATTATTCATGTTATTTTCTAACTATATCTGTTATTAAGATATAATTTACTCAACGTTTACAATTAACAATATAATATTATATATGTAAATACTTTATACATATGTTTTTATTGTTATATTCATATATCAACGTTCGAGTATCTACAATATTATTAACTCGTTTATTTAAATCCACTTATACATCGATAGACATCACTATACTATCATAGTCCTTCGATTTCAATCACTTAATGCTTCTCTCGCATTTCGAATAATACTCTTTTCATACACACACCTATCTATCTACATATATTATATCGTGTTTACGTAACGTGTCCGATCATTTCTTACAAAAGTAAATCGAATAGAAATAAGATTCATGTGTCATTCGAGTTAACAACTCGAATAGATAGAGATACACGTGTTACTTACATTTTATATTATATTATTTTGACACGAGATTATCGATAATCGTTATACGTGTTGAATTAAAATATGATTTTAATTGAAATTGACTGGTCAAATCGAATAAACGAAGATTAATAATCTTTAAATGATTTCATCATTTTATTATTACTTTTTATTTTGTAATCCACAAAAGTTGTGACATATTTCAAATAAATAGAATATACTTATAGGTCGATAATATTATTTTCTAATAACATTTCACATGATTATTATTTTCTAATCGAATTATAGTATTAAAAAAAGTTTTATAAAAAGTATTTCAATTGATTATGAAAAAAAATAAATGAAATGAACGAGAAACTTTTGAATCCTATCTTGTATATACAGATGTGGTTTATAAATTAATTGACACCAACAATTATTCATTACTTAGGAAAATGAGAACTGAAACTTATATAAAATTGTATAAAAAAAAAAAGTATTATTTCTATCAGTCAACATTTATATCAAATTAAAAATTTCTCAATGATAATATATATCAACCGATCTAAATATCATTTTAATTATTCAAATGATATAAGACAACAAAAATAATTTCACTTATATAATTAGAGAAATAATGTATAATTTAATCATTTATATAAAATAGTATGTGGTTAAATAGGGAAAATAATAAAAATATCGCTAATGAAAGGATAAGAATAAATGAAAAAAAGGGAAATATAAAAAGAGAGAGAGAGAGAGAGAGATAGTTGTCATCGAGAGTCGCCTAAATTCGACGTAACTATGTCACGTCGTTAGAGGATCTGCGCGTGTACGAAATATGAAATAAAGGTTTCTCAGGAGAAACGCGATAGCTTCGCAATCGTGACAAGGGGCATGGGGTGTTGAGCGGGTAGGGGGTGGAGGAGGGTAAGGGGGTTTAAACTGCGCATAAATATGCCGTACATCGTGTGCTATGTCGTTCTCTCTCTGAACTTCTACATTTCCTCCTCATTTTCCGACGTGGCCATCTACGCTATGCTACAAAACGGATAAAAAAAGAGAGACAAAAAGAAGAAAAGAAAAAAATCTATGGGGAAAAAAAAAGAGAGGGAGAGAGAGAGATGAAGAACACTTCTTTTGTATTGCGTATTCCAAAGTTGTACTGACTTCGTACCACACTTTCTTTATTTTTCATTAATATTCATGTAACTATTAAATTGATCCTTTATTTTTTCTTTTTTTGTTTTTGTTTTTAAATGTTTTAAAACAATTCTTAATTAATATGTAAGTTATTGTTTCTTATCTCGCGAAGAAGTATTCCAAATCGAAAAGACACGGTGTGAGATTTTATTTTTTTTAAATTATTAACGGATGCAATCATGGATTATACTTTTTTCTTTTTTTGTTTTTTGTTAAAAATTTTTTTCTTCGAATTAATAAAATAAGAAAGCATCGGTTCGTTCGTTTTTAAAAATAAATAATTATTAATTATTAATAATTATATATATATATCAGGGTGAACCGAAATATGTTTGTGCATTTTTAAAATAAATATTTTGTTAAAGTAAATTTTACAAAAACACAATCTATCATGCAGTTTCAAATTAAAGTTTCAACGCAATGAACTTACGTGAACATTTGTTTTACCCTAATATTTATAATACTATTCCTTCGAAACGATAAATAATTTATTAACAATAATATTATTCTCTCTCTCTCTTTCTCTCTTAAAATACTGAAAATTTTGCGTGTATATATTTTATCAAAACCACTTACAACCTAATGAGAATCACGTATAAAAAGTAGACAATCGATAAAGGTTGTAAATAATGTTCCTTTCCTTTTATTTTTTTTTAAATCCTTATATCACCTAACTCAAACTTAATAATTAAATAATCGATCTTTTTCAACCATCTTTCACCATACTTCAGCAAACGTTTCATGGATCAAATGTGCATTCGTTCTCGAAGTAGTAGAAAAAAAGGATAAAATTTTACGAGCGTAAAAAAAAAACGAAGAATAAAAGTAAAAGAAAAAGAAAAAAAATGCGACAGACGGAAAAATATAGAACACCCGTTATTATGCGTTATTTCACGTTAGTCCCTGGTCAGATTTATGATCGATCCCGCATTGTCATGAGATAATACACAGTATCACTGTCCGATGCTTCCGGTTCGTGTAATGCGTTACGACGTGCAGCATGCATATCACCACACCGGGTCCTGTGTATGCGTTTCCGCGTTTTTCATCGCATAAATCTAACCCATGGGGCGGGAAAGGGAAAAGGGGGATGGGAATTCTCTTGATGTCTTTCTCTTTCTCTTTTTCCTGTCTAGTTCTTGATCTATCTCTCTTTCTCTCGTACACATACTCCTACGTTTCATACTACTCTTATATATTCACGTGTACGATGTAATAATACCTGGCCTGCATCCGACCAATGCAGTTCAGTTTCCAACAGATGCAGTAGATCTCTCAAACGAAATGACAGAATGACTTCTTCCTTCTCTCTTTAAATCTTTGATCTATATCCTTTACCTTCACCCCCCCTCCCCCTCCCCCACCCATCCCAATCCCAATCCCATCATTGTTTCCATGTGTGTGTGTGTTTTCAGAAGAGATTAATGGTCACGTCGCTAACATTGGGAATTATTCAAACGAATAAATTCACCTAATGAGATACTTGATATTATCATTTTCTTGTTTTTTCTTATATTAATTAATGATTTGTTATTTAAATAATTTAGATGCGTGTTTGTACTTTTTTGTCCACATCGCGCCGTTTTCTGATACAAATAATATTATTTTTGTTAAGTAGGAATTGATAAAGTAGAGGAGTAGATTTGTGTTGATGTTATTAGATTATTGATTTATTCTATATTGTATTTTATATATTTTGAATATTTAATTATTGGAATATTAAAATAATTCTATATTTTATTGGACATATTAATTTTTATCTGATAGATATTATTTGATATATTTTTGAGATATCAAAATATGTTAACAGCGAAGGGATAAATTACAAGTTAACGAGATACTCAATCTTTTTATCGATAATTAATTATTAAAATACTGGACCTACGTTCTTTAATAAGAATACTTAAAAAACTCGTAAATTTGTAAAAAAAAAAAAAAGAAAATATTCTCAACCGTATAATTAATGATATCTCGAAAGAAAAGAAAAAAAGAAGATTAATCTATCTTATAAATAATGAATAATTAAAACACGAAAACTTTGACGAGTAGAAAATATTCAACAAATCAAAATACAGTACAATTATTTCAGTATTACAAGAAAAAAAAGAAAAAAAAGAGATTATTATTGTGTAAAAATAGAAAAATCGGAAAAAGAGAAGAATAAACGAAGGATGAATAAAATTCGAGTTGAAAATAAAAAAAAAAAAAAAATGAAAAAGGCTGAAACGATAACGAGAATGATTAAACGTTGAATTTTAGGGCTTGGTGATTTAGGGACTAACGAAAGGAAAGCAATTGAACGATATCGTGCGGTAAAAAGAAGTTTTTAGTTCTATTCGTGCGTCGTTCGGGGAGGGGGGGGGGAAAAGCGAAGGGACTCGAATTGAAAATCGGGAAGGTTAAAAGTTTAAAGAAGGGTAGGGTAGGAAAGGAAAGGAAAGGAAAGAAAAGGGAAGTGAAGGGAAGGGAAGGGTTTGAGAGTATTCGATACGCCTTCAAAGAAAACTTTTTCTCCTGCTTTAGGTGGACCAATGTTCTCTTCTACTTTTACTTTTCCCTTCGTTTTAAGATGATAGGGAGAGAAAAAAATGGAGAAAAAAAAATCGGCCAACCTTACCAATTGCTTTTGCCGGAATATATATATATATATATATGTATGTATATATACATCATCGAACTTTCGATTCCTACCAATAAATTGCACTCGTACTATCAAACTTTGCTTAATTACTCGTTCGTAAAGTTTAGAAAGTTTTGTTTCCAACTACTTTACTTTTCATCGTCATCGTATGCCAAAGGAAATGAAATAATTTGAACCCTTTGAATGTTATGAAACGCATATACGCAATATAAATGCAAATAATGTAATGTTGTTTTCTGCATTGATTGTTGTTTTCAATATTGTGTGTTACACATCAAAATTATTTGTGAAAAAAAAAAACACAAGCATAAACTTTAATTTATTAAATATAATTTATTTTTTAAATGTCATTATAGAGTGTGTAAAATCAATCGACGAAAAAAAAATACACTAGTAATAAAGTCCTTATTAAACATTTCAGCTAAGATTATTACTCTCAAAGGGTTAATTAATATGATTATTTATTATTAAACAAAGATAGACGTTTTTTATTTTATAGGAACGTAAAAAATCAACGATATTACACTCGATTAAGTAATCGTGAATTTTTTCATGAACAATTTTGAGGGGTCATCTTCATAATCTTTGACATCTTTTCACCGTAAGAGTTTATCCGTTTATTAATCTCGTTAAAGATAAACTCAATGTTCTCGTTGGTTTCTTAAGAAACTCATTGCGATTAGTATTTATCGTTATGGCTTTTCTTTCTCGTAGTTAAAAGAACAATTTTCTAAGAAAATTTTACATACTCGGTACGTGTGTGTATGTGTATATATATATATATACTTATATTCGTGCGTGTATGTATTTTTCTTTTTAATAACTGACAAATAAAAATAGAATAAATTTGTTAATTAAATTTCCATTAATATAATAAAATGATCAATTATGTTTATAGATTATAGAATGTGCTATATATGTGTACGTATTTAAATGCATATGATAATATATTAATAGATATATATATATTATATTTCACATCGTTTAACGTTGATTTGCAGACACTGAGAATCCAAAAGTTTCAACCTGCCCGACATCCTTTGAAGTACGCTTAAGTCCAGGTGAACCAAATCGTTTGATATTCTGGCAGGAACCGACATTCACTGACAACGTCGGAGTTGAACGAATTTACAAAACGAGGGTAAGTGATAAAGGCATTGATTTTCGATGTTACAATCAGATAAATAATAAGATAAATAATAGATGATAGTATCAATTTGTAAAGATTGAAATTATTTTACGAAGATCATTTACTTACAACAAAATTATATTACTAAAATTATGCAATCATTATTTGAATATTAATAACATTTAAATAATTATTTAATTAATAATATTAAACACAAGAGACCAAAAATTTTATTTCTAATAAAATAATAGGATAATATGTCGTATATTTTTATTATAATATAATTTTATTCCTTCCTTACAAAATTATATGATAATAAAAATATATATGTACAATAGCATTAAATGAAAATATATCATAGATATAAAATTAATATCAGAAGTAAAAGATTATGTAAATATAAAAACAAGTAAGAAAGAAAGAAAGAAAAAAAGAAAGAAAGGCATTCTTTTTTTTTTTTCTTGTATTTTTTATTTCCCGTTAAAAGAGTTTGCAAGCTTGCGGCAAGAAAAGCTCATCTTCTTCGTTTCTTCTTCTTCTTATTTTTTTGTGTGTTTTATTCTCTCTTACTTTTTGTCTCACAATCAGAGTTTTATTACGAAGACGAGCGTTTAAAAGGCGTTACTACGAAACCTTAACAAGGAGTTTCGTTCTTCCACACTCTTCTCTTCTCTCTTTCAACGAACCCTTTCCCTTAACTTCTTTTCCTTTTTTTTTTTCTATCTTTTTTTTTTCTTAGAAAACGTGAGCTTTATTAAAAGTCTCGCTTAACGATCGAACTTACCAATCTCGCGCTTATCTCGCCGTTCTTCCAGATTTCGTTCATTAATTACTCCAAGGGCAGTTTCGAAGGAACCCTAAGAGAGACAGAGAGAGTGAGAGAGAGAGAAATAAAGTTGCCAAGGAATAAAAAAGAATCCTGTAAAAAGTTTTTTTTTCTCTCGACCCCTTCGTCTATTATTTTTTGTTTGTTTGTTTGTTTCTTTTTCTTTTTGTTTTTGCCTAACTAAAACCTAAAGTTGAAAACTTTTTTTTACTATTAGTCATCGATCTATTTTCTTTCTCTCTTCTCTCTATTTATTTTCTATTAAAGTATTAATCTAACGTGATTCACTCGTCTAACAATAATTATTGAGATTATCATTTAACTCGTATATATCTCTAATCGTTGATTTTGAAATCGTAAAGAATTTTATATTAGAGACGAGATTTTCAATTTTAATGAAGATTTCAATTTGTAACATCGCACTCTAATAGCGTAATAATTAATTTATTCAAATCTCTGATATATATATATCAACAACGAGTATTATTAACAATTAAACATTGCACGGTTAAATTTATAAATTGCAAATTGCACGTAAAACCTTAGTCCTGGATTTTTGTCTATCATTTGTTCATTTTTTTTTAACTTTTCCAAGAATAAGAAATATTTTATTTTCATAGATTAAATAGAATGTAAGTGTAGTAACATGAGAGCTAAAGAGATAGATAGATAGATAGATAGATAGATAGATAGATAGATAAAGAGAGGAAATTAATTAGTATATTATGAAGTATACTTGGGTTGATAATGGAAGAAGTGGTTCTGCGGTTATCGTTAAAGGTTCCTAATATTTCAATCTCAAAGCAACCCAAAGCACACCAACGGGATAACGTGAAAAGTTAATGCTTTGCGTTTACATGATAGGAACCAGGACAACTGATGTATCCCGGAGTTCACAACGTACGTTATATCGCATCCGATGCTGCGGGAAATCAAGCAGAATGCCATTTCTCCGTACACGTTCGAGGTAAATTTATTCAAATGTGTAAATGTTTCGAGATTATTTGAAAAAAAAAACAAAAAAAGTTAAAGAGACTTCAGAGAAATTATTTCAACGATATCGAGGAATGGTGTGGGTGGGGTGAGCTCACATTTTACAAAATATTTTTATCCTAGATACATAAAACAAAAGTCCCACGAACGAATAATTTTTGTCTTATCTCTTATTTTATTTTTTTTTTGTATTATTTAATATTATTCTTTATGGAGCATGGCTTTGATACGAGTATCGTTTCGTGTAAAATTCAATCGTTCATTTCCTATGTTCGTAGGATCGGTTGATTATTTATATAATATTAATTAATATTAAAATATATGATATATGTATATTGTTAATGTTGTTTTAATTCGTAGTTGTAATATATTACATATTATTATTTTCGTAATTGACATTAACGATGTTTTAACGCGCGCGTAATCGATTTTTGTAATAACATCATAAATAGCTTGCCTTTCATTAGGTTTAAATAACTGGATAAATAGAGAGATATACGTAATTAGTTGAAAGTGATATTTTATGTTTTCCGCGGTTACGATGACAAATCCTGTTAGCAACCAAACGCAACACGCGTTCGCGTAAGCATGAAATACAATTAGAACCTTTTAGTCAAGCGTTAATAGATGCTGGAGATTCTTTAACTCGTTATAGAGAAAGTTCACAAGATAAATAATAAATGGTTGGAAACAATGGATTTTCTCTTACGAATAATTAACGTACATAGTTGGTTTTATTAGTTACATGTTATAAATAGATTGTTGAGAATATGTATGTATGTAATTTGAAATAATTGGTTATAATCGTATTCGTCGTGATCGAGTGATCCATTCTAAATGAAACCACCATCATCACCACCACCACCACCACCATCACCACCACGTTCCTGCGAATACTCGTTGTTCACGGTAATCTCGTTAATTAAATTCGAACGATCGTGTTCGAACCACACCTAACGCTTATCCCTTCTTCCGTCTTACGATATAACGAGAGATAAATTAATTTGTTTGTTGTTAAACTCTAACGATCGTTGGATCAATTTCTAGATTGATCGTTTGATTGAACAAACAAAACAAAACAATCATTATTTCTGACATTTAATCGATTATTTAGTTTCATTTATCTATCTATATTACATCATTCACTTTATTTTATTTTTTATTAAATCTAATAGAAAAAAAATAAAAAAATAATATTTCACATAGGTGTTACGATTTATTTATGCGTTATTTATTTTGAGATATATTAATTTGTTTTTTTCTGGGAGGGGTTTTTTCAACCTCTTTAAAAATGACTGGAGGGGGGGAAAAGAAAAGAAAAGAATAGAATAGAATATGGGAGAAAATTTATAGTCACCTCAATAACGAGACGAGTCAGACGAGTAAGAGAAATTAATCGAACTTATCTAGTGCCTCCGTATATTTTCAGAATCCGATCAACGACAGGATGCTGAGGTGAGTTGAAAAGGAAACTGCACGAAATCGAATGGCTTTTGTTGAAAGCTTGAAAATCTCGACTACCCGCCCACCCCTGTCCCCCTCCACTCCTCCATCTTTATATTTTCTTCCCTCCTTACCCTTTTTTTCCTTTTTTCCCAACCAACCCCCCCCCCCCTTTTTCATCGAGAAAACGCGTAAACTCCGTTTTGTTCTTTCTATTTTTAAAATTCTCTTTCCACATTTTTTTTTTGTTCCTTCCTTTCGTCAATATTACTGTGTCGTAAAAGTTTCGTCGTGGTGATTTGAAAAAGAAGAGAAAAAAATTTTAATCATCGAAATCGACTTAAAAGAAAAAAAAGAAAAAAAAAGAAATATCAAAGAAAACGATCGGATATTGGAAATCGTTTGTACTGAAAAAAAAAAAAAAAAAAAAAAAAAAGAAAAAAGAATTCCTTCTTTTATTACATTTTCAATTATTTTTCTTGTGTTTCAAATTTATATTTAAAAAAAGAAATTAATTTTCTAAAAGAAAATCTATAATACGATATTGGAAATGATAGAGAAATTTATATGTTGTATCAAAAATTATATATATAACATTTTCCTTTTTCAATTATTATACTTCTTTCAAATTTATCCTTGGGAGAAAAAAAAACAAAACATAAAGAACAGAATTACAAATAGAAATATAATAATTTGCACCAATTTAACGATGGTAATTGTAAAAGAGAAGTAAACGTAATTAAGAATAAATTATAAGTAATTTTTGTACAGCCTCGCAAGAAAAAAAAAGAAACAAAAACGTAAAAGAAAAAGAAAAAAAAAAAAGAAAAAATGGAGAAAGTAGTTTTCATCCAACTATATTCTGTGGTATCGTATTATTTGAAAACTAGTTTTAGTTTGGTTTTGGCTAGAAGCCGAAATTCCGTGTAAATTCGTAGCTTATCTACATCATACGTGTCTTTGGTCGAATATGTAAAGCCAAGAGAGTCGGAAACAACAAGAAACAGGAACACCACCAATAGCATATATACATATATAATATATGTATAATATATAAGAGTAGTAGTAGTAGTAGTAGAAAATAGGAAAATTCAAGGAAGAAAAATGAAAAAGGAATGGGAAGATGTTTATATCGGGCTTGTCAATTTGTTACTGTAGTTACATACTTGGACGATATCACGGTTGAAAGAATTCAGTAGCTGCTTGTACGTAACACAAAATCGCTTGTCTTCTTTTATAAGAAAAGAAGACGTCGAATAGTATGATTCTCGTAGATAGTATATAGTATTTTTCTTCTTTCGAAGAAAACCACTATATAGCAACAACCTATGCAGCAACTTTGTAAAATCTTACGGAATATTCGATCGATGAAAAAATCATACGATATAAATAAAACTGTCTTGAATAATAAAATCAAAATAACAAAAAACAAAAACCAAAAATAAAAAGGAAAGAAAATCATTCGGCGTATCGAAATTTTATTCGTACGAAAATCTTTATTATTCTGAAATTAAAATCTATTGAAAATTATATATATATATTTTGTATATTAAATAGTTTTTTTTTTATCATTATTTTCTCTATCGTCATCGTCGTCGTCTTATTATTTGACATAAGAGAAACAATTGTTGTTAATTTTATATATAAATTATTATAATTTGACACGAGAAGAGAAAAAAGTAATAAATATATTTAACGAAATTAAATTAGATCATTCGATTGAATGATACCAACGTTTTCAAAAATTCTTCAAATTATTTTCTTATATTTCGTATTATTAATTTAATACGAGAAAAGAAAAAGAAATGATTTCAAAAGTATTTCGAATTTGTGCAAAATCATTCGATACATACAACAAAAAATTACCTATATATCTTTTACCTTTTTTATTTGATATAAAAAAAAGAAATATTATCTGACATGGGAGAGAAAGATTCGATTTTCTATGGTATATTTTATATCGTTTCATAAAATGTTCTTAAATATCTCCGCCTTTTTCTCCTATTACCTGACACATATTTTTATTCCCCATCCCCCAACCCTCTCTCCCTCCCATCTTCTCCGCCCTATAAAAATAATATTCCAAAGATCTTACGTTTGCACTTATTTCATCATTTAGCCAAGAGTCTACCGTAGAAAAATGTTGATGTGTCCCGGAAGACCACCACAACCTATGCCAACTTCTTCTTATGGGGTGAGAGTCCAGAATTTGATATATATATAAAAAATCGTAACACATACACGTTCTGTTTTCCTTATTTGAATAAAATACAAAACAAATGCAAACAAAAAAAACAATTTCCAAAATATACAATTATAATATAAAAAAAAGGAATTATCTATTGTAACTTGATTCTTTATAATATATTGAAAAATATTAATAAACAATATTATGGAAATTTAAGTATAGAGAAACGTTGCTGTTGTATCAGCAAAGATCATATAATATTTTCATTTTAACGAGTGTTTAGTAGGTAATTGTGTAGATTATCTAGGTAATTTGAAAAATGAAACAATTTTCGACGCTTAAATGGAGATCACATCCTAGTTAATATATGTACATTATTTAGATAATCTGTGGAATAACTGATTTCTGAACCTTTTTTTAGCAGTAATATATATATACATATTACAGAGTAAAATATGAGATATATAATATATAAGATTATTATATATTAAATATTAATTATTTATTTAT